TATATATATATATATATATATATATAACAAAACACACTTAGTCGGGATAAAATCTGTCGGCGGAAAAGAAAAATTCGCCGAAAAAAATGGTGTTGGTGAAATTTCAGCGACCGCCATTTTATGCCGCCGGTGACCAAAACAAAAAGAAAGAGAATAATAATAAAAAAAAATAGAATAACAAGAAATAATAAAAAAGGATAACAAAAAGAAGAAAGAATAAAAATAAGTACTAAAAATACATGTGGGGGCACGTGTAGCTCACCACTTGCCAAGAGTTTGGTTGTCTAGTTTTAGGGTGCAAATAATTCCATTTAAAATAAGTTTAGGGAGGTAATAGGATTCCCGCAAAGAAAAAGTGTGTAGTTGAAAATCCGGGTACAGATCAGGGGGTACTTATGCATTTTCCCAAAGACAAAATAACTAACTTTCCTTGCACTGCCTCATTGTTTCTTGTTTCTCTTTTTTTTTTTAAATATATATTTTGTGAATTACGCCTTCTTATTTAGTTTCATCAAGTCTATGTGAATCTGAAATGTATGTACTCTTTGTCGATTTGTCCTGTACATGAGTAGGTATTTCTATTTTATTTTCTTAATACACGATGTTGTTTTATGCAATTCAATAAATTCTGGACTGTGTGGCTACTTTCTTGAATTTTTGGGAGTTCGCAAGATCAAATTTATGCAAAAATGATTGTTAACGATTCCGAAAATGTAGTTCGGACACTATACAGTTTTGAGTAGAGAAGGAGATTGTATGACCTCGGAGAAAACATTTAACGATGATGCAAATTGAATGCTAATGATTAGAAGAAAGAATAGCTATCCTTAAAAATTTAAAAAAATGCAGCAACATTAGAACTCTCTGTGGTAGCTTCTCAAATGGATTGGCGATTTCACATTGAGGACCATATTTATGAATTATCCAATGGGTGGAGTTTGATCCAATAAGGGGATTTAATTTCAGTGCCCAAAAAGAGGGGACACAGTATATCCTCCTAATGCAAGCAATCATGGTATTGGCTCCGATCTATTTTGGTTCTATACTGTACTTCTACCCAATTAACTTGTTTAAATGTGTGAAGCCTTTATTCTAATCATAGAATCCTTGACCTTATAAAAGGATTCTTGACTTTGAAACATAACTTAATCTTGATTGTTCATGACGATCTTAAAAAGTGAAAAACGGAATTGGGAGCATATCTTCCAACTCGCAAGTTGCATACTTTCATTGGACCTTTGTTCCTTCTTTTTATTTTTAGATTATGGTGCATTAGTTAGGTTTGTACTGACCTTTTAAAGTATTAAGAAAAGCCATATAAAATTAGTTATCAATTTAAAGAATTTTTTCTGGTGATCTTCCAAAATGTTTACCTGTTCTTTATATATTTATGAATATGAATATTCCCATTTCTAACGATTGTAAATTACAATTGAAGATCCAGCGAAACATAAACTCGCANCACAAGGGATAGGACATCTCACCAGGAGTTGTAGAAGAAGGACCGGGAGGATAAACAGTAGAACCACGTGAAGAGACCATCATGTTAGAAGGTTCGGGAGCAAAGAAAGGCAAACTGTCAGCTGCGTCGAGCCTTATCATGACCATAACACACTTAGAACATCCAGAGAAGCAATTGCACATCTAGAATGTAAGGGCAAAAAATCCATTTGTTAGATGTCTCCTCTGAATTAAGCTTAGCTATTCTTTTGTCCATGTCCATTAAAAAGACTCACAAGTATGAAAGGTCACTGCAAGCTCTCCCCCCAACACACACACACACACAAAAATTTTGGCTGTATTTAAGTGTTCATCTTTGCAAGTAAAGCAACATCTAACCAAAATAACATTTTTAAAGAAAAGGAACAAGCGGAACTAAAATGAAGGTTGAGGATCACAAAAATTCACCATCAGCTTAGAACCCATTGCCTACATTTGGGTAACTGTTTCAGTTAAATTGACTAGTAGAACAGGTATGTGTCACAATCACGGGGAGGATGTGCACCATCTGTTACTACATTTCGGGCTACCAACAGAGTTTTGGTCCTTAGTATATTCCCCATTTAGTATGACGGGTACCAGAGGCGGATGTAGTGAACAACTAACGGGTTCGATTGAACTCATAACTTTCGACGCGGTGTAAAAATTTATATGTAAAAATTCATTAAAATTACAAAAATAGTGGATATGATGAACCCATAACTTTAAAAATATAATAGGTTCAATGCTAAAAACCTTAAAAGTTGAACCCATAGAATTTAAATCCTGGATCCGCCTCTCATAGGTACCACCTATTATAGTGGTGGAAGTGATGGTGAGATGAGGGCAAGAAAGATGGACGTCAAAAAGAAAGAGATATGGAATACAGCTCCTTATTGCATATTTTGGATGATTTGGAGAAAAAAAAGATTAGAGCTTTTGAAGGAATTGAATTTCACTATGGAGAATTAGAAGTTGTCCTTTGTATGTATTTTGGTGTAAAAAGAATACAATGTTTTGTATAAATTGCTAATTGGATCTTTTGGAGGGCTTAATTTCTATCCTTTTGTATCTTTTGTAAAGTTGACACCGTCTTGATATCAATAGAAAGACTTTTTTGCATAGTAACAAAAACAAATTTTGACAAACAAAGAGGTAATGAGGTCAAACCGGGCGAAGTGGATAGCCCAAGACATTTAGGGTAACTCTTCCAGCAATTCTAGCCTTGTCTCTAGGATGGTGAAACTTGCATGTGGCTCCAAACTTGCAAGTTCCAATCTTCAAGTAGTACTGGAAAATAGTTCAATAATTCAAATTGTGAGCGAAATAGGTTAGAGGGGATTAAAGGAAAGAACGGAAAGTCATAAGAAACAAATTATCACACGAAATAGGAACATCAACAACTATAAAAATAGACACCCAATTTAAGACAAGCAGATTCAATTAATTTAATAATTCGTGCATCTCGATAAAACTACAGATACTAAGATTTTCATATTTAAAGATAGTGAAGCAGATAAGAAGTGAAAAAAAAAACTTAGAAAGTGAAAAAAGGTCAAATAACACAGTCAGATATATGAATCTTCTAACAGTGGGTTTAGCTGTGATTCTCAACATATCCCAGAAGGTGAAAACCTTCAAAGTCTGAGCAAGCATCACATAGTACGGCCAGATTTTCAATAAAGAAACCAACAGGTGTGAGTATTTTACAATAATTGAGCCAAAGACATAAAAACAACAGCTCATATCTAATGGGAAAAAAAAATTAATGAAAGAACTTAAATTTTTGAAAATTAAAGGACGATGTAATCAAATCTCGCATCACATGCCTCAACCAGTGTATTACAAAAGAAATAAGCGATTTCAAAGATGCTAGGTAATTTCCAGAGATATTAACTTATTTTATAAGGACTTTCCAGAGATATTAATTAAACCACAAATTTGCCAACTATCCCGACTAGAATCAAGATTCAATTATCAGCTTCCACAAGAACAATGGGAAGAAGCAAATAAGGCAGTAGATCAAACCATAATGGAATAGGCACCCTAAAAGTTAAATGGGGACAACAATTAGCATCAAATCATACATGTTTATTTAAGTACTCTCATCCATAATATAGATATGTTTATTGAAGTACTTCCATTCATAAGTTCAATCTTTTGAATGATGAGCCACAAGGGTCAATATTGTTAAGGGCAGCCCGATGCACTAAGCTCCCGCTATGCGCGGGATCCGGGGAAGGGCCGGACCACAAAGGTCTATTGTATGCAGTCTTACCCTGCATTTCTGCAAGAGATTGTGCCTATTAATTGCTTTTTGCACTTTCCTCTATGACAAGCAGATATAAGACATATCGACCTGGCAACAATACCTGGCATTCTAGTTGTCCTATTCTTTCTGGATACTCTCCGTTGATACTTGCTGCATGTTCTAAATTATTGTCTTCTTTTAATCGAAAAGTTCTATTCGTAAATTTACAAGATTATGTGTCATTTGTTAAGTTAATCTTCTCCCTATCTCTTTCAATTAATCTTCTCCTTTCCCTAATAATTCTAAACCAATTTTTTTAAAGAACATTCTATATGTTCCTTCTCTTTATCCGGTTTGTGTTGCTCAGCTAGTGGTCCAACCCTTGGACTCTCCAATTCTTTCGAAGAAAATTGAATGTTGAGAAAAATGGTCCAACAGAAAAGTTCAAGCTGCCTCCTTTTGGTACCCACACAAACAGCCTTCCCCTGAAAAAAATCAAAGAGAAAGAAGAGAAGGTTAAGATAGAAACAGTGGATATTCAGAATGGATACAATTTACTTACATTTATAACATTTAGTTCTTTTACTTCTATACATAATTCGAACCGAAACTAGTAAATTTAACTGCACTGGTTACTAATCGCCTAGGATCTGTACATGAGGAAAAGTTGCTGATGAGGGCAGAAACAACAAATGCTTGGTGGTGGTATTGATGGCTTGCGATTGACTAAACCACAAAGAAAGCAAAGTGCAGTTATTCTTCCCAACATTTCAATGATCTGTCCACTTATTCCTCCATTACTGCATATTATTTGGTTAACCTTCCTGTCTCCATGTATTAATTGGACATGCACTTGAAATTTATTCCTTTTTTTCTCTTTCACTTCTCTTCATTTCTACTACCTTTGCTACGCAGCTAACCATAAACACAGGAATGAAGGTTGTGACAGCTCAAGAATATTAAGCTTAAATGCAAAACTAATAGTATAACCTTACCAGTTAACTAAAAATCTATTGCACTTCAAGCACAGTAGATAGAAAAAACTGGTCAAATTAGCCAGCGAAAATTGGTAATGGACAAAATCTAATAGGGACGAGGACTACATAGTTTTAGTCTTAGCATACCCGTAGATCAAACTACTTCAAACTAATTTTTTAAGGAAGTTGCAAAAAACATTTGTTAGACTGTGCTAAGTAGTCATTTGCTATTTCCTTTCTCCAGGCATTTCTCTATGCTTCCGTACCAATTCCACTGGAAACATAGGCCAGCAACACGTAATATTCCAGCAGCTATCACTTCGACAAATGCCATTAGGAATGATCTTTGAGGAGATAGACCAGCAGTTGCTATGGAAAGCAAGAATCCCTCAAAGTTACAGGGGACAGTAAAATTTCCTGATTTAATGCCATTCAAAGCTATCTTGGCAACTTCGTCAGCTTTCATGGCACCAGAAGAAGATGCTATTATACTAGTCACCCGTGGCCTTCTTTTGTTCTCTGCAATAACAATGAGACTTTCATAATTGTTGTTCAAACAGGTGAAATACTGAAAAATAGATGGTAAAAGAGTATAACCAAATTTATGCAGACTTAAGCTGATTATCAGTCAGGTAAGCTTAAGCCCCTATCAAGTACATTAAACAATGTGTGCATGCCTCAGAAGCAAGGGCACTAGGAGTATCTAAGATTTTATTTCAAATGCTTGGAATGAGATGGGTGCAACACCGACAGTGATGATGATGTATCCCAAGGTGCAATATTAGTGCTTGCATTATCTCCATGCGCACTCTTCACATTTTTTCTTCTTCTCTCTTCTTTCGGATTGGTAAATAGTAAACTATTACATAAAATAAAGAGAGCACCAAGGAGGTTCACACAAAAAAATGCAGCAACAGTTTACAATGGTTAAATGAGGTAAGACTGAAATATGCAAATAAGAAAAGTATAACAATCTAAAAGTCATAATAATGGAACTCCTGAGCTCGCATAAGCATGTCAACACCTTGACCACATTCTTCTTACCAAAAAGAAGCAGATGCAATACACATTAAGCTTCAAAATGTTCTAGAGCTGTACTATCCAAATAGATCAAACGACACTCCAATGAAGCATTTAACATCCTGTCAGGTTCTAGGAATCCTCATGCCCTTTCAAGAAGATAAAAGGCAGAAACAGATTTTGCATAGCCAATGGAATCATGATAAAATGTACTCCATTTAATATGTGCGACAGAGACTAAAGAAAAGGATATATAACTAACATATCAATTTAGATTCAGAGGTAGATCTAGCATTTAGAATTAGTGGTTTCGGAGTGGATATGGCCATATTACATTTTAAAATTTTTACATAGAAAAACATGAAGCAAGCAGAAAGAAATGGCTTTGGTTGACCCACCCCCAACCCAACTGAAGGGCTAGATCTGCCTCAGTTTAGAAACAGCGCTAGAATAACACAGTTCTTTTTTATTATCTTTTTTTGATAAGGTAAAGTTAGACTTGTTTACTTTGTTGAAAGAAATCCCAATGCAAAGGTTTATAGATGTAACTCTATTAAAGAACCACTAACCTACAATCCTTCCGGCATGATGATTTGTTCATAAGAAATAAGATAAAACCAATTTTTAATATTTAAACATGTAGCGTATCATTTTAGTTCGTGCAATGTGACATGCGGCAATAACAACCAGAAGAAACAGAGTGGGATCCATTCTCATGTCAAACCTTCAGCAAATCCAGGAGTTTCAGTGTCCGAGGGAAATATTAGTGATACGTGAATATTTTCACCAATAACCTCCTGCTGCAATGCTTCTGCCAGTCCTTTGAGGCCAAACTTACTGGTTGAATAAGCTGTATAACCATATATGCCAACCTAAGACAAAATAAAATACCAAACGAAAACCAAATAAGCTAGGAAGAGACAGAAACATGGTTAAAGTTCATTAGTACAATTGTATGGGGAAAGAAAGGTTAAAGTTCATTAGTACAATTGTATGGGGAAAGAAATTCTGTTGATTCTATCATATTTTAGCATCACAGACCAAGCTCCACTCTTTCAGGTTATAAACTACTATTTGAAGAAATGTTGCCGGCTAAAGACACAAGTTCTCCCTTAATTATGCCATACTG